TTGCAGCGTACACCCACGGGTCCACATGCTGCCTGATGTCCACCAGCCCTGTGCCAACCTCACACATGGTCCTGTTGCCTTGGGGCCCACAGGTCATCCGTGAGCCCTTGTCCAACCAGAGACCCAGCCATGAGTTACTGAACGCAGAGCTGCTGATCAGGAGGAAGAGGAACACATGACAAGAGACGGGGGTACCCTCCAGAAGCCTTGTGTACATGTGACATGTTTTCCAGGTCAGGGTTCCTTCCGGGGGGATTCAGTCTGGATGAGCTGGTGCACAGGAACGACTGCACCAGCATCCTCCCTCCTTCAGCAGGGTTCTCCCTGAAGGCTTCCACCATCGCCGCATTGTAAGGTGTTCCGCACCCTTGAACTGCAATCCTTGCAGGTTGTGAATCAGTTTTGCATAGTGCCCTCTCTCCTCCATTAACTCCTGTGGCTTCCATTTTCACAAATCTCTCCATCTTCTAATAAAATGACTTCATCACAAGACTCTAAGAAATGCAGCTGGTGGGTCACCAGGACCATCGTCTTCCCCCTGAGAGTCATCTTAATGCACCCCTCAAAGACATGCTTCCCCAAGTGGGTGTCCATGGCCGACGGCGTCATCCAGCAGGTAGAACTGACAGTGGGAATAGACGGCACCAGCCAGGCTAATCCCCTGCCTCTATACCCTGGAGAGGCTGAGGCCCCACTCCCCAGTCTCAGGCAGATCTCCAAGGGGAGCCTGCTCAGGTCTTTCTGGAGGCCACAGACACGGACTGTGTGCTGTTAACCTTTTATGATCATGCTTTTCTCCAAAGAGTATGTTTTTCTTACATTTCCATGAAAGATCCACGTGCTCTGTGAAATGTAAGCCAATGTTCCATTGACTGCCGCCATCCCTTTTTTGCCGCTGCAGCTGTCCTAGTATAGCTGCAAGGAGGGAACTCTTCCCACTTCCCACATTCCCGCTTACTCCCAAGATCTTCCCCTTTGTCACCACAAAGCTTATGTTGTGCAGAACTGATTTCGGGATGCCACTTTGCTCCTCTGGGCCAGTGGCTCCCTTGGCTGGCAGACTCCACTCACTGTATGCCTCCAACCTCTGTTGCTTGAATAAATGCCTCTTCAGGTTCTGCACTTCCTTTGTGTCACTTTTCCTGCTGGCTTCATGCTCCCATGTCAAGGTGGCATTTGCTAAAAGCAAGACAGTATTTGGGTCTTCTGCTTGGGTGAGGTAAGATGGAGGGCTTTTATCTGTGACAATTTTCTTCATTCTTCTTAGAGAGACATTGGCTTTAGCCATTGCTTTTGCCGAGGAGGGCAAAATTTCAATGTCAAACGTCATTACATTAAACATGGCAATCACACTAAATGCCACAGACATGGTGAGCTTGCGTCTCAGGAGGATGTGGCAGGAGAATGTCAGCACGATGGTTATGGTGGACATGGGGGGCGGCCAGGATGGAGATTCTGCTTTGGACAAATCCAGCTTTTTGCAGTAATTTTCTTTCCCTCCTCCTTATATCTTGGGGAGTGTTGGTAAAAGGTTTCTCCCAGGCACACATTTTGATGAACTTGATGCTGGTCAGAAACTCATTGATTGTCTGAACTTGCTTGTCTGTCACCAAAATTGCTGACCTTCAGTGAATTCAGCTTGGCCATAAACATCTGAATAGGTATGCATAGGATATACACAGATATCCAGTCCTGTTTTTCATATTTCTCAACATGTCTGTGCTGCTGTTTTGTTAATTTTCCGTTCTGGATATTCTCTCTTCTTACCATAGAAGATTGAGATTTAGCATATTATTTTCCTAACTTGTGAATAGACTGATGGCAGTCAGTGTTTACTCTGCTACAATTCTGACTTCACTCACAGCTGAGCAATGTGGTGTTCTGTACTACAGTTTCCTTCTCAGACATTTTTCTACTTTCCCTGAAGTGATGTCTTCTTTTTCACATTTAGTTTCCTCTGTCATCACTCATCACTGATTCATCCCTAAAATCTCCTCCAGAAATACATTCTCTCAATACATTAAAATATACCAGGGTACTTTATCGATGGGGACATTGCTTCTGGAATCCTCCATGATTCTCCCCCTGCCAGCCCCTCCCCGGGCTCCCTCTTCAGCAGCATCCTGGGACCCTGGGCTCTCTCCTTGGACCTCCTGGCAGCCTCCTCCTTCGTGTATTCCCCCGTGGTGGTGATGCTCCTGGTCGGTAGCTCCCTGGGGGAGTGCAGAGGAGGCCCACATAGAAACTCACGTGCATAACAGTAATCTTTGTTCTTTTTTTGAGACAAGGTCTCTCTCTGTTGCCAGGCTGGAGTGCAGTGGCCCGATGTCAGCTCATTGCAACCTCCACCTCCTGAGTTCAAGTGATTCTTCTGCCTCAGCCTCCCGAGTAGCTAGGACTACAGGCACCTGCCACCATGCCTGGCTAATTGTTGTGTTTTTAGTAGAGACGGGATTTCACCATGTTGGCCAGGATGGCCTCAATCTTTTAACCTGGTGATCCGCCCGCCTCAGCCTCCCAAAGTGCTGCAATTACAGGTGTGAGCCACCATACCTGGCCGTATCTTTGTTCTTTTCTCACATTTGATTCATAGCTAATCAGGAATCTTGATTTGGATATCTTTCCTTCCTCTGAATTTTGAAGGAATTGTCTTCTCCTGTCTGTATTGCTGTGGATGAATCTGTCAGAGTTCCGATTCCTGATCCTTTTTTGAGTCCTGTTTTTTTATTTTGTTTTGAAGTCTGCTTTCTGTCTCAGAGATTCTCACAGCGATGGGACTCAGTGTTCTAGGTACTGGGCCCTCTCAAACCAGCTCATATCCTTTGCTCCGGGGCGATGTTTTGGACTATTTTCTTTAAAAGTTTTACTCTCCATTTTCCATGTTTTCTTTCTGGAATGCCAGTTTTTCAGATGTCACAATACCAGCTAGACCGGTCTCTTGATTTTCGTATTTTCTGTCTCCTGTTACATGTTTTTCTGTGAGATTATAGTCACGTGCCACATAGCAACGTTTCAATGACAAACCATGGTGGTCTCATAAAATTAAAATGGAGTTGAAAAATTCCTGCCACTTGGTGACATCTTGATGACCTGGCCCTCTGTTGGCCTAGGCTAATATGTGTGTTTGTATCTTAGTTTTTAACAAACAAGTTAAGTCTAAAAAAAAATTTGAGAAATAGAAAAAGCTTATAGAATAAGGATATCAAGAAAGAAAATATTTTGTATAAACTAAAAAGTTAGCTGCGCATGGTGGCATGTGTCTTTTGTCCCAGCTACTCGGGAGGCTGAGGTGGAAGAACTGCTTGAGCCCAGGAGATACAGGCTACAGTGACACGTGGTCACATCACTACATGCTAGCATAGCGTTTTAAGCTAAATGTTATTGCAAAAGAGTCAAAGTTAAAAAAATTAGAAATTTAGAAAGTAAAGTTATGGTAAGCTAACTTTGTTATTGAAGAAAATATATGTTTGTAAATGTAGTGTAGCCTAAGTGTAGACTGTGGGTAAAGTCTACAGTGCTGTACAGTCATGTCCTAGGCCTTCACACTCACTCAGCAGCCACTCACTGACTCGCCCAGAGCAACTTTCAGGCTGCAAGCTCCATTCATGGTAGGTGCCCTACACGGGTACACCATTTTTAATCTTTCATACGTATTTTTTACTGTACCTTTTCCATTTGGATGCACAAATCCTTACCATTGTGTTAGTTACCTGCAGTATTCAATATAGCAACACGCTGTGCAGGTGTGTAGCCTAGAGCAATCAGCTGTACCACCTGTGTGTGTACATACGCTGCAGTGTTAGCAAGATGACGAAATCGCCTAATGGCACATTTCTTCACAACATTCGCCTGTCATTAAGCAACTCATGACTGTATCTCAGCTTTCTCTTCCAGCCTTTCAGTTGACATTCACGTTTCTACTCTAAAAGCCCAGGAGCTCTTCTGTACTCAGAGTGTCCCTTTACCGCTTCCTGTCCTGTTTCCTAGATGTAACATTTTGCCTTCTGTTTCTGAAGACATCCTTGTAGGTCGATGCTTTTTTATGCATTAACCCTCCTTGAGGGTGTGGGGAGGTGGCGGAAGGTGACACTTCACTTCCAGCGTTTGCCTGAGGATGTGCAGATGCTTTTTCAAAGTGAGTGTTTCCCACCGCACTACCTGCTCCATGCCGAGTCAACGTGTGGTGGGTACCCACATGTTATTGAAATAAGAACCTTATTCTGACAGTAATGATATGTCATAGGATGTCTTTAGCAGGAGAGGTGCAGGATTGATGCAAAGGCCACTGGTGGCAGAGGAAGGTGAGCTGGAGGAGATAGTGCTGAAGGCTGAGGGCTGAGGCAGGCGGGAACTGGGAGAACCTTGGGCCAGTATGTGTAAAATGAGTTTTCCTCAGTTTTTCTTTCATCAAATTGGATGTCACTCCTGCTTGCCTTATCGAATTATTGTGAAAATGAAATTAAGATATGGGAAATTCTGTGTAAATAAACAATAAATGTATTGAAAACATAAGGTATTATTACCACTGACTTTTCTGCCCTCATAGGAAAATGGCGTCCTATATACAGGCCACCATTTGTATCTGTGGATTTTGCATCCACAGATTAAAGCAGCCACAGATCAAAATTTTAATAGATGAATAAAAAATAATATTACAACAATAGAAAAATAACACAAATTTAAAACAATATAGTATGACAACTATTTACACAGCACTTGCATTAGGAATGATGAGTAACTGAGGTGACTGACAGTATACAGGAGGATAGGCGTGGGTTGTATGCAAATACCACGCCATCCTATATCAGGGACTTAGCATCCCTGGGTGTCCTGGAACACAATCCCTGGGGATACTGAGGGGCAACTTCTATCGTGAAATAAAGTATGTGATCTGTATGTATTTCTTTAATATTTGTTTGCCAATGGTGTCACTAAACTTATAGGAGGGTGCCATATTCTAAAAGACACTCTCATCCCTGTCCTGTGTTGTCTTACTTTAGCACAGAAGTTGGGCCTCATTGGGCCTCCACCACCTCCGCTGTCATCAGATGAGTGGGAGAAGGTGAAACAGCGGTCCCTCCTGCAAGGGGACTCCGTGCAGCCGTGCCCCATCTGTAAAGAAGATTTCGAGCTTCGTCCCCAGGTGTTCAGCGTGCGAGGGGAAGCTAGAGAGCTCATGGGCTGTTTCCTAGGAACCAGGCCCAGAGCTGGAGCCTGAGATTCCAGGCTTCCTTTTTGTGTTTCACCCTCGGGTGTGAGCCTCACACACTTCCATTTCCTTTTACATTAATTAAAGTGTGTGAAGAAGAGCTAAACACCCTCATTAAATAGTTCTGTTTGTTTACTGACTGGTATTCTCAAGTACTAACATTTGTACAAAAGGAATGTTTCCCTTCAGCGGGCCCCAGTGGCTGGGCTTACTGGGGAGCTCCCCAGGAGCAGCTGTGTCCCAGCGCTGGAAGAAAGCAGAGGAATTCTTAAATTGTTTTGTGATTTGAGTCAGAAAAGAACAACAAAAAACTGCTTGAATGTCTCCAAAGAATTTGTAAGAGAATCTTTAAGTAAAATATTTTAATGATTTTTCTTCATGAAGCTTTACCATATTAAAATGGATGATGCTACTCTGAGCTAACAGATAATACACATATATATATAGAGAGAGACAGAGAATGCACATAGGGTTTTCTCTATACATATTCTGTCTGCCTAACTAAACCATTGTCTCCTGAAGTGGGGACACTTAGATTTAACAGCTGTGTGTGTGTGTGTGTGTGTGTGTGTGTGTGTGTGGTGTGTATGTGGGGGGGGGTGTGCACGTGCACATTTATGGTTGCCCTGTACCAATTTCCCACAGGGTGTGGCATTATACTTCCTGCACAGCAGCCCCTCAGAGATTTGCTGAGAAAACAGCAAATAGAGTTAAAATCAGCCTTGGAGTTCGTAGCCTAGGAACCCAGGCAAATGAATCTGCAACTTCCTTGAGTTTGAGTGAATGTCCTCAGCGGGAAAGCTCACAACAGTACACTTGTACTCACTAATTTGAATCCATAAGTAACTTTAGACATACTATATTCTAGTTCTCTGTCAGGACCTAATATTACATACATAAAAGTTGGGTATTTGGGACAGATTTTTAGCCCTGAATCCACAAATTGCTAGGATAATTTAGTACTTCAGTGTAGCCAAACAGTGAAGAAGGCCAGAGGGCATCTTTCTGGCTACGCAACCTCTTTCTTACACTAAAATATGGAGCCTGGAGTGTCCACATGAAGAATGAAAACTGAAAGTTCGTATGTTACAGGGATTAGGGTGTACCTTGCCCAACATCTCTTTCTGTTTTTTATAAATTCCCCACTAAATTCTATTATTTTTATTGGTTTTCATATAAGACTTATCCTGTATAGTTTGCATTTCTAATGATCATTTCTGTGTTCAGATTCTTCCTTAGTTATAAACAATAGCTGGCATTTTCCCAATGATTTCAGAGGACCTTCAATTAATTTCATAGAGTGAGCATTCTGCCTATTTAACAGATGAGGAAATAAAAAACAATTCACCTACTCATTGATTTTTGTTACATCAGAGAACATCTGCCAGTAACAAATATTTGTGGACATTTAAAAAATACAACAACATACTGAAGGATAATGTCCCTCCATATAGATAGAACATATGTTGATAAGACACTGAAAAGTATCCTGTGAAGAGTGAATGGAGTTCAGAAAAGATTGGTATTGAACGGTGGTGGTAAAAAGGACTCATCTTACTGAGTTTATTCAGCTCACACTTACTCTTGGCAGTAAGTTTCAAGAAAAGGTTTTAGAACTTTCTGAGTTCTACTTATTTCTGTTTCTTCCATTTAAGAAACAAAGCATAAATTGAGTGAAGGCAGGTGGGATTCACTTTAAAAACTATTAAGTTTTCCTCACAGCAGGCATCCTGGGCCATCTGAGATTGAAACCTCACCCAGGAGTGTCACAGACTACTGTCACCCAAGTCAGATTCTTGTCAAAAAGGGAAAATGCTTTGCCTGCCCCCACTGCTTTGCTTAGTCTCACAAGTTCCCCCGCCTTTCCTTCCCATTGCTGAAAGTGGTCCCTGCCCGAGGGAAGCAGAGCCTGGCTCCATCCCTTCCACTAAGTACCCACTGCCTTCTTCGGTTAGTCTAAGCTTCGGTCTTTTGTCACAGCCCAGAATGTCACTGTTGGGGAATCTGGGTCAGAGAAAGGTGAAGTTTTCTTGTAAGCATACTTTCTCTGCATTTGAAAAAGAAAAAATGACTCCTATGTCTCCATGATTTGATGCTATTTAAATTTAGGACTGTCAGAATTATATCTAAGTAGAGCTGTGGTTAAAAAAAATTGGGGGGCATAACTGAGTTGAACAAAGACCTAAATTGTATTTACTTAGCATTTCCCTGGTCTCCTCCCTGGCTCCACAGGACTGGCCCCCCTCCGTACCCCTCTAGTTTGCAGTCACTCCCAGCATCTAGGGAAATCATTCATTTTGTCATTGTTTTGCTCTTAAGTATACACTCATTTTAATGGTTTAATATCAAACTTAATGTGCTTATTTGATATTTCAGATTGTTAATTTCATTTAGAGTATATACTTTTTTGGTGCTAAACAAACAATAATGTCAAAGTTATTTGCTTTTTTATTTTTTAAAGAAAGAAGAGAGCTTACCTTTGAAGCATTCAGAATTTTTCTTTAACTGTTGCATTCATGCTGCTTCTCTTGTTAAACTTCAAACGTCTTTTTGTTTCCTCATGAACAGGTGCTGCTTTCATGTTCCCATGTGTTCCACAGAGTAAGTCAGCCCCTGACGCCTGCGCGTGCACCACACGCCACTCTTGCAGTGCAGAGAAGCCAGACTCACGTTAAAGGCTCCAAGGAAGAGCCTTACTTTATTCATCACCAGCATTTATGGTTAAAGAAACAGGACTACAGGCTGCAGTACAACTCATCCTGTTTTGAGAATCATGCGTTTGGGGACAAAAGAACCACAAATGTTTATCTGACAGATTGTTGTCAGTGAGGCACATCAAAGTGACAGCTGAATTCACGTGATCGACCCGCATGTGGTCTACGCATGCGCAACTCTTTGTGCTAGTTGATTTTAGAAGTTTCTGATGTCTCTGCATGTATATTCTTGTAAAAAAAATCATTTTTGGAACAGGTTTCATGAGGAAGGTGGTAACATCTGATTAAATTTCCTCACTTTATAAACTAAATTTGAGTAAGTCTCATAGTTCAGAGAGAAAAGAACACTATAATTAGAATACTAACGTTGGAAGTAAAAATATTGTTTATAAGTAATTACTTATAACATTTTAAGTGAGATGTTTTTCCTCAGGCATGTCTTCAGGCTTTTGAAAAGTTCACAAATAAGAAAACCTGTCCTCTCTGTAGAAAGAACCAGTATCAAACCCGAGTGATACATGACGGGGCCCGCCTGTTCAGAATAAAGTGTGCAACCAGGTGAGGATGCCAGGCCCACGTGGCGCTAAGCAGACACACAGAGATCAAGCTGTGACAACTAATTTTTTAAAATACTGGCATTGTCTCTCTCTTCTTGGCCACCATAATTTCCCCAGGGCCTTGTACAGCACAGGCTTATAACAACTACTGAAGTGTTGGTTGACATAGGATCATCATAAATTAGTCATTTTCAAATATCTGTGTTGTAGAATCCAAGCCTGCTGGAGAGGACACGTCGTTAGAAAGTGGTACCAAAACCTGAGGAAAACAGTACCTCCCACAGATGCCAAGTTAAGAAAAAAATTCTTTGAAAAAAAGGTAGGTAGAGATCATTAATTCTCCAGATACGGCCTCTGTGCGGGTGATTCACTTAGGGTCAGGACTGCTAACAGAGCTGGTAAAACTTTGAGACTTACTTCACTTTGAGGGCTTTTTAAAAATGGTCGAGATGCTGCTTAAACCCCGTTAATTTAAATCCGCTTTCCAATCTAGATGGTAAAATACCTTTAGATTTTCTTTTCATAAAGAAAACTCATAAAATTAGGTTAAATCTAAGCAACTTCCATTTGGCCATTTTGTGCCAATTGTTTAAATAAACTTATCTCTTCAGACACAAGACTGAAACCAGCTTAATTTTTCCAGTCTCCTGGGTTATACATAAATGAAGACATCTGCTGTACCTCTCACAGTAATGAAAATGGAAGCCACCTATAAAAATAAAGCCCCCATCCATATGCTACCATTGTATTGAGTACCTCGTGGGGTCATCAAAATGAGCTTTAGTGCTAACTTCCATGTCTGCCCTTCCTCCTCACCACTATTTATGTTCTGTTTCAACAGTTCCCATTCCTTGTCCCCATACAAAATGGACAGTTCTACCCATCAGCCTGTAGCTTCAGGCAAACAGCGGCATCTCCAAGGCTGCCATAGGAGAGCCATCACTTCTTCCTGGCAGTGTTGGCCTGAGAAGAGCCATGTCATTTATAACAGCCTAGCACACCATGGGTGCTGGAAATTCTGTGTTTCTTATCAGTATTAACTCATTTCCTAGAGTATGGAAGTGAGTTACTGTGTGTTTGGCCAGTTTGTTCTTCCAGAGAGCCATGTCTCATCTTCAGAGTTCGCTCATCTCGGGTGTTGATTCTCAGTTTGGTAAAGGACCACCGTGCATGATTGCTTCATCCTGCCTTTACATTCTTTCCAGTTTCTTATCTTCAGTCGCTGACAGTCAGTCTTGTTCTCTGAGCAACTCTTGGTAATTTCTAATGTTATAATATGTTGTTTCTTTGATCAGAAGTTTGTTGTCACCTCTTATAAAATTTTAATTACAGATTTGATAGTCATTTTACCTTATGTATATAAATACTTTTCATGTGCCCACATCATCTTATAATAACTTTTGAAGCGAAAGGCCCACTGAGAGTGTAGGTAGTCTCGGCCCACTGAGAACTGGCCCAGATTGCTGGAAACAAGCAAAGTGACTGTTACCATGTGCCTTGTGCTAGCTGTAGAGTAGCCAGTGAAGGGTACATTTCAGGCTCAGTGCTCAGGTGTTCAGACACCACAGCCTTCAGCTTCATGGAAAAAGGAAAAGAAAAATAAGAAAAAGCAAGTGACCAGGAGCAATCAGGGCTGGGAGACCTGATCAGGCAGGCTCCTATTTCTAATTCAGTCTGTTCTGTAGACAAGGCAGATCCATAGCTCTGTCCCACCCGACATCTGGTCCGCAGCTCTGGGGCCATCCCACCTCCCCAAAAGTCCTGTTTTAATCCCTGGTTCATCTCGTCTGCTGCCCCCTCATCCTGAGCCCTCCTCACTCTGCACACCCTCCTCTGACCCCTGCGTCTGCTCTTCTGAGCACACTCACACTCCGCCTGCACGTCCTGCTGGCGTTCCTACTGGTTCCCTCTGCCTTGCTTAAAATGTGCCGGGTTTCCAAAGCCTAGTTTAAGCTTTCTTCCAATTTCTTTGGTCTTCTCTAAACCTTTATTGTATGTTTAAACAATGCCATTCAAGAGATCAAGAAGAAGAGAAGTATGAATGATATTCTAGCTTATATATTACAAATGTAATTTTTCCTTTGTGGCTTTTGAAGATGATCTCAGAAGATTTAAATAGCAAGTTCACTTAAGTTGAATATCTATGAGGAAACTGAGAAGCAAAACTGATTTTTTATTTTTGCAGGGGTGATGGGGAGATATATGTTGAGAGCAAATTGTACACATTATTTTTAACTTTAATTTAGAGACAGGGTTTCATTATATTGCCCAGGCTGGTCTCAAATTCCTGGGCTCAAGTGAACCTCCCACATCAGCCTCCCAGTTAGCTGGGATTACAGGCAAGAGCCACAGGCTAGGGCAGTGGCTTTCAAACTTTTCCTCAGCCACAATAAGAAATATCTTCTATACTGTGTTAACAGAAAAACCAAACTCGGTGAGGTATTTTAAAGAAGTTTATTCTGAGCTGATATGAGTGACTGCAGGTCAGGAAACCCCCTCTCAGGGAGTCCTGAGAAGGTGCACCCTGGGCAGTCGGATTACAGTTTGCTTTTACACATTTTAGGGAGGTGGGAGTTACTGGCAAAGACAGAAATCACTACATGGAAGTGATACATTGGTTTGGTCAGAAAAGCATGATATATGGAAGCAGGAGCTTACAGACTGTAGGTGGATTCAGAGACTTGTAGTTGGTTAAAGGAATAGAGTTCTACCTAAATACTGGAGTCAGCAGAAGGGAACGTCTAAGTTGAGGGTGCTGTGTGGCAAGACTGATGGCCTGCGGCATGACTGTCCCTTGCTGGGCATCGACTTCGCCTTGTTTATACTTTGGTTTCTTACTGCCACAGTCTGTAGTCAGCCTTATCACCTCTTAACACGAATGCTGGTCACTTGAGCTTAAACTCCAGCAAGGAGCAGGCATAATGAAGGGGCTCTCATCTGTCTTCTCATCGTGGCTGGGAATTCCATTGCTAAGGTTTTCCTAGGGCCCCTTTGGCCAAGAGGGGGCTGGTCCTGTTGCTGGGGACCTTAGGATTTTATTTTTAGCTTATAGCAATGACCCACCACTTGTATATATTTAACAGAAACAAAATTTCACAAAGCAAGATCTACTTTTACCGCCGGCACCACACTGTGATTTTTATTCCATTTCATTTTCCAAGTGCTGGGCCTACTACATCAATGTTATGAGCCACCGATGGGTGGCAGATGGCAGCATGGCCGCAAATATCAATAACTGCCACCTTAAATATAATACGAGTGACTGTGTCATCTGACCGTTCAAGTCTCCTGTGCAGGGGGCAGGGGGGACAGGAGATGTACACACACATGCACACACATTCAGATCACAGTGAGATTTGTTACATGAATAGGCATCCTACAACTGCCTTAACTTCTAATTGTTCAATTGGGAAATCCAGGCATTCCCAGCTCTCTGCTAGTTCCCTAAATCTTCTCTACAGTTCCTTCATATCTTGTTCACTCTTGCTTACTTATCCCGTTAGGCCACAAACACTTGGGATCTGTAAAGTCAAATCTCAAGTTAAATAAACGAAGCCTGAGCTCACTCTACGGTGGTGTGTTAGCAGTCGGTAGTAGCCGTCTGTACTGAACTTCGTGTATGTGCAGTAGTAATAGTTGCCTGTCTGGGTGCATGCCCTGTATGCTTTTATGCCTATGCGAGCAGACCTCAAAGGCTGCCCTTGATGATAAAGAGCACTTCTTAGTCATTTACCACCTGACTTCACAATTTGATGCTTTCTTTCTGCCTTTCCCACTTACTAACCTCATCTCTGAGCAGTAGGAATGCTCTCAGAAATGTCAATCCACAATTTTAGAATGCCCTGCATGTTTAATGGAATCTGAGAGATTATAGAACCAGGTTACTGAATTTCACCTTACCCAGGTGTGTGACGGTTAATTTATTATCAGCTTGGCTGGGCTAAGAGCTGCTCGGGTTGTCTGGTTAAACATTATTGCTGGGTGTGTCTGTGAGGTGTTTCCCGATGAGCAGAGCATTTGAATCAGTGGACTAAAGTCAATTCCATGTGTGCGCGCACACAGTCTCACTCTCTGGCGATGCTTCTGCTCTGTCTCTGCCTGACTGCTTGAGCTGGGACATTGGTTTTCTCTAGATACACAGAAAGGAAGGTGTACCCATAAAAACAGAAATCATTTTTAAAATGACAAAATTATTGTATACAACTTTATGCTATTAGAACTGAAAATATAATTGAAATTACTTCCTGTAAAAATAACATAGAAAGAAATTTAAGGTATGAAGTGACTGAAAAAAATTATATGAGCATCTCAATTTTTACTGAAAATATATTAAATAAAACTTAACAGCCATTCTTAATAATGACAGCAAATTAGAACTAGAATGAAATTTCCTTGTCCCATAAAAATTACATGTCAAATACTAAAAACACATTGTTTTAGAGAGGAAAACTATAACGAAAACTAGATTACTTCCTGTCATCACACTTGAGCCAATCCTTGCCAATAACACATGAAAACAAAACACATGTGCGTGCATGTATATGTATATATGTTATGTATATTATATAAATTCATATATTTAAATTTTACATTATATTTATGTTAAAGTAAGCCAAACAAGGAATGTAGCAGGCACTGATAGGAAAAATATTTTTCTGATGGAATAAAAGGCTTGAATAAAATGGAAGACATTTTACGTTGGATCTGAGTAAAAATGTCCACTTACCTTCTATAAATTTAATGTCATTTCTAACTCCCAGAGGAGGAGGATGGGCCACACATTGGGATTTGGCAGGTGAACTCTAAAGTTGATGTCAAGAAGTATGAAGAGCTAATCATTTTTTAAGAGGAAAGATTGATGAGATAGAACAGTCTTGTTAGAGATCAAAGTATATAAATTTGGCAACTAAAACTGTTGGGGAATAAGAGACAAACGATGAAACAGTAGAAAGCCACACATCTCAGCATACAGGAAATTTCAGTGTACTCTAAAGAAGATATTTCAGGCCGGGCACAGTGGCTCACGCCTGTAATCCTAGCACTTTGGGAGGCTGAGGTGGGCAGATCACCTGAGGTCGGGAGTTCAAGACCAGCCTAACCAACATAGAGAAACCCCATCTCTACTAAAAGTACAAAAGATTAGCCAGGCATGGTGGTGTGCACCTGTAATCCCAGCTACTTGGGAGGCTGAGGCAGGAGAGTTGCTTCAAGCCAGGAGGTAGAGGTTGCAGTAAGCCAAGATCGCGCCATTGCACTCCAGCCGGGCAACAAGAGCAAAACTTCATCTCAACTAAAAAAAAAAAAAAGAAAGAAAAGAAGATGTTTCAGACCAGTGGACAACATATTTGAGAAAAACCAATTGGGAAACTGAATCCATTCATGTGGAGGGGGATTAAAGAACATTGCTTTATACCTTACTGCCAGAAACATTCCACATGGATGACATTCTTAAATACATTTTAATGGATACATGAAATTATTAGAGTCAAATCGCTTCCCAGGTGCCTGCTCTCTGCCTGCACTTTGCTCGTCAGGGGAGATAATAAGGGGACAGACAGACACCACAATCCTACCAGGACACGTGTGGTTCGGAGAGCTGGGAGAGGCGCCTGGATCTCAGATTCAGCTTTGCTGCTCACAGTGGTTTGCACACCCGCCACACTGGCTTTTACAGCACTCTGAAATGAAGGGTGGGCTGTAGAAAACCACTGCGAGAACACACTAGGTGGCCATTTGTCCTGGCTGACAAGGCAAAATGATCATCTTTATTTAAATGTATAGTACAAATGGAGTATTTGCTCATATGCATTACACATTATATATTAATGTGTAGGGGATGCATCCATTTTATTCTTTTTTAAGGATGTAATCATATGAGTAGAATAAATATTTTACAGCTCAGAACTGGAACAGCTTAATAATAAATGTGAGACGAATAATATAACCACGAACCCCATCTTAGTAAAGAAAGTCATCCTCCTCCTCAGAGATGCCTTTAGAAAAGACTTTTATCTAGTGTAATAGTATACTTTTATCTTTTATCTAGTTTAATCTGAGAGCAACATGTGAAAAGGTCATTTTTTTCCAACAATAGAAACAGAATTTTATTATTTTCACCAAGAAACAAACATGTTTCAGAAAAAAAAATTGAACTGGTTTCCTAAAAGTACCTATAAAAATTTTAACATGATAAGTAAAATGAGGCTTCTTAAGCTTCCAGAAATCACAGATCAAGATAATTCAAATAAAAATACAACTGTTGGTTTCAGGTTCTCAGCTCAGTCTTCATTTTCTCATTACATCTGTCCTTTCTATTTCCGAAAGTTCTTCAGAACTAAAAATGTGTACTAAATAAGGACCAGCTTCAGATTCCTCAGTGTCTACAGGTTTCCTACGAATACGTCCACTAAAAATAAATTCCAAAGCCAGAATGAACAGCGACTTTATCAAGGCCCCTCTTGAGAGACTTGCTTTGTAATGTAGTTAGTGAAATTCCAGAAATGCCAGGTTTCTCTGTGTAGTCTGGGAAGCCAACTGTGTATGCTCACTTGCATTCACCTCATCACCCGCCCCATACTTAAATGTGTATGGAATTCTGATGTTTGAATTTTAGAAACTGGAAATCTTACAAAGCCAAATGTGTGGCATTTCACAAAGTTGACTGTGGCAAATTCTTAATGATCTGGGGAACAAGAGTTTTGAAATGGGAATAACATGTGAAACCACCAGCTACATTTCAAAGCGGCATCTCCATTCTTACTATTAGTGAATGTGAAAATATTGCAAATTTATTTTATTTTTAATCTAAAGAAAATGAAATCTCAAATTACAAAGAGAAATAAATCACGCGATGCACCCCACAATGAAAGGTGCGTCAGCGCCGGCTCCCCTGACTCTGCCGTTCAGTAACTGATTCTCCACTCCCACCCGCCAGCCCACCTCGATTCCGAATACAGGGCTTTGCAGACTTCTAGAGGCTGCTGAGCTATAAGAGAAATTTGTGGCTTCAACAAAGTCATTGCCAACTTTTAAAACTTTTTGTCTAAGAGGAAAAACAAAACACCATGTACCATGAGAATCATTTCATAAAAGAAATATCATTTTAACACCAGAAAAGGAAAAAGAACCTGACCACACATGAAAGGAGATTACCTTCACCCTGCAGACA